TTCCGAAACGTCCCTCACGTTTTCGATGTCCGGAGGCTGAAGCCAGTTCTTCTATAAAGTCCGTATGGAAGAAGCGAGCTAACACGTGCACCCCGTTTTCAAGTGCAGCCACTTTAAGTGCGTGAATACGGCAGCAATGCAACGCAGAGCTCGGCAGGTAAACCAGCAACGTCGAAGGAATAAAGCTAAACGGCGGTCCCAGACACCGCAATAACGCTCGCCGGCAACGAGTATCACGATCACATGATGCTTGCTGCATGCGTCGATATGCCTGGAAAGCTTTTTTTTTTTATTTGCGCATTGGTCAATCTTGTCTTTACGTCCCTGTCGCTCACCGCCACGGCGCCGTTGTTATCACAGCGATCAGCGCGACTGAAAAAAAAAAGAAAATATAAACAAAAACAAATGTCGCGTCAGCATGCTGCGGTCGAGCATGGAATGTCATAGAAGCCTCTCTCGTGTTCTTCGACAGCAACTGCGCAGTTAGCGCAGTCGTCTTCGTTTTATCAATGTAGAATGAAGAAATTCGCGAAAGCGCTGCATTATCACGCGGTTTTAGAAACGCACTTATTTTCAGTACTTGCGCGCTGAAAGATAGATAGATAGATAGATAGATAGATAGATAGATAGATAGATAGATAGATAGATAGATAGATAGATATGCGGGGTTTAACGTCCCAAAACCACCAAATGATTATGAGAGACGCCGTAGTGGAGGGCTCCGGAAATTCCGACCACCTGGAGTTCTTTAAACGCGCTGAAAGCTTGCTTCTGGTTTTCGAGGAAACGAACTTATTGTCGAACGTATCGCTGCAATGCCGCCGTCAGATTCGCGAGGGCGCACTGACCGCGAGTGTTGCACCACGGTCCGAGTTAATTAAATTATGCGCTCTTTTACGTGCCACAATCCACTTATTGAAACACGCAGAAATTGGCTGCGCCAGGATAGATTTCGTGGGCGTAGGTCTAAGTACGGCCGACCAAATCTTAAACTATAGTGAGAGCGAATGACAGGTTTTTGTAACGTGTGCTCTCGCGACACGAAAGAAATAGGTTTCAAAAAAAGAATGAGTTCGGGGAAGGGCAGGTTGGTCAAGTTTATGCCTACAATTTTTTTTTTGCAGCTTCGTTCCATCATACGGCGCTGACACAAAAGAACGTCAATGTTTTGCACGCCAGCTGAAGATTTGGGCGGCGGTGCTCAAGTGAACTCGAAGAACGGCGTTGTGGTAACAAAGACGAGACAGACGAAGGCAGGAAGACACATACAAGGCGTTGATTAAAATCCAAGCATCGTTGTGTTTACACATGGATAGTTATTAGAGAACAACACACCAGGGTGGTTAAGGCACTCGAGTGCTGACCCCCAGGTCGCTGGATCGAATCTCGGCCGCACTTTCAATGGAGGCGAAAATGCTCGTGGTTGGTGCGTAGTCAAATTCGGGTGCGCTTTAAAGAACCCCGGATGGTCGAAATTTCCCGAGCCCTCTGGCATCCCTCATAATCATATCGTGGTTTTTGGGACGTTAAGCCATTATTATTATTAGCGTTCCTTGTGAACCACGGCGCGCAAAGGCGGTCGGGCGGCGTTTTAGTCTTGTCGGCATGAAAGCGCACGTATACAGAAAATATCGTTTTCACGGCCGCTTCCGCAGCGGGCCCTGGCCGTTGTTCAGGTCACGAGCATGACTGAAAGCTCGCCATCGTGAGTGACCACGTTCGGAGTTAATTATACGATGTTCTAAGTGTCAAAACTGCGAACTCATAGAAAGTTTAAGGTTACTTAATCAGAAAAGTCAGCAAAAGCACGGAACACGAGAGAGAGAGGCAGATGCAGGCACAACTGGCACTGACAGCTGTCATGCTATTGTACGGAAGCACCCAGCCAGGAACGTAGGCCCCACACCGGTCCCATACCTCTCCAGAAAAAGCTTTTTCGTAGTGGCATACGAGCGAAAAAAATTACCGTGTCAAACAAGTGCCCCCCCTCCCCCCCCAAAAAAAATCCTCTTCCTTCGTACGCGCCTCCTCCCAACGCACGTGCAGCGAATCCTCATCGCTTACCACACCAGCCGGTGAAATATAGAGTATATATCGAGCAATCATCGTTCTTGCCATCGTCGCAGTACACTAAGTTCCTTTTTCGGGGAGGCAGGTCGATGGTGGGCATACACATTTGCCTCCGCATTTCCTAATGTAGTGCGTACGCCTCTTCAATTTGACGTTCCCCATTGCCGTTTCCTCTTCCCAGATAAACGACGTTAGTGCGTACGTCTCTTCAATTTGACGTTCCTCATTGCCGTTTCCTCTTCCCAGATAAACGACGTTACTAAAGAGCGGGTGGCAACCACATTGATGACCGTGACGCGCATATGCCTGCGCACGGCGAGGGGAGAGGGGCAGGGAAGGCGCCTCTCAAAGTCACCTAACGGGTGGGGGTGCAACGTCAACCCCCTACATTAGGGAGTTTTAGTGCTGGGTACCCAAGCGGCTTGCGTACCCAGGACGTTGGGGCGGTGGTATTGCGCATGCGCGAAACCCCAAACAGATTCGTCGCAAGATCGCTGGGGCGATGGGGCCATGCGTACGCGCGGCCATAAACAACGCTGTCACCACTGGCCTCCTAGCGGAGATAAGCTGCCCCGGCGCACATGCTGGCGCATCATGTTACCTTCACGGCGAGCAAAGGCGAGGCTGGCCAGAGCAACCACTTTAACTTTTATGTTCTTAGCGCAAATATTATATTGGCTAGCCACTACACAAATAGCATGGCACAAAGGCGCGAAATCTCGGACAGCATGGATCGGCCGCCTTGTAAGTTCCACCTTCGCAAGAACTCACGGTATCCGCACTGCGGATACCCTAGCCGTCGAGTTACAATAAGCCAAAGTGCGATACTTATAGCGATTACACGGTTTCAGCCAGATTTCCAAAGCTAGAATGGCCTAGAACATAGAAACTAAAAAGCATATGCCAACCCCCGACCAGCTGAATAGGTGGCGCCATCTAGCGCGGCCTTAGTGAAACAGACAACCACAACTTTGTTATTGCAGAAACATTGTGCATTGCACATCTGGTGCAAAAACTGCGCAGCGACAATATTACAAATGAGTAACCTTTTTATTCATTTTCACCACAAAAATATTACGCGTAAGCTAACATGTTCATGACTGTGGTTGCACGAAGTGTCACAAGATGTCGACACTGTCGTTACAGTAACCTTGTATTTTTCATTTTTTTGCGTATACCAGATTACTGTACACAATAAAAAAAGTGTCCTGATCACTATGCATGTTTATTTTAACACTTTAAATCATAAAAATACTTAAATAATACTTACGCGACAAGATGCTAGGCGCTGCGAGCACGTGTGAACTTCGTGCGGCTTGCATTTGCGTGCGTGCCACCGTGGAGCCAACTAAAAGGCATCCCGGTTGGGTATGGGTTGGGCACGCAACGCCGCGCGCTCCCAAGCCCGCAACGCCCCAAAATAATGCGTACCCAGCACTAAAACTCCTTATTGATATCCAAAGAAGGGAGGGGCGCTGATATGATGCGGGGTGGCGAATGCGTCAAGTTAGCCGCGTATACACTGACATCATAGGGAAAGAGGGCATCACTGCTACAAACAATCGAACCCCCCACGCCCCTTGAAGGTGAATCCTAAGCCCGACTATGGTGACGCGCAAGATCAGCGCCATCATTTGAATTCAAAGAAGTGTAATGCTCACTCAGCCTAGCATTATTACAGTGGCCAAGGTACTATACAGTGTCCGATTTTATGAAAGGTAGCATGCGAGCGTACGGCCTGCGCTCTGGTGCGGTAAGGTCCCCAGATAAGCGAAACTTTTTTTTAATACGATAGTCTTCCTTGAGGTACTTCGACGCAAAAATTGTGGTCTGTCTGCCCATTGGTCGGTTTGTCTACCGAAACGATACGCGAAACGGTCAAAATGCAACCCCATCCGACGCGCCCACCAATATCGTTCAAGTTTCAGCGTTCATACCTGCGCGATTGTCAATTAAAAAGCAATTATTGCGCATATCTGAGGCCAATATGAACACGTCAATATTCTGTGATGTGTCTCGTACTATAGAAGGCATACATAAGTAATTATAAGGGCCATAGCGTTTATTGCGCTGCACTGACAATGCAACGCTATGCACAAAAAGGCAAGTGTTTCCAACGCTTTGCATCCCGGCTGCGGCGGCTGCATTTCCGATGGAGGCGGAAATGTTGTAGGCCCGTGTGCTCAGATTTGGGTGCACGTTAAAGAACCCCAGGTAATCGAAATTTCCGGGGCCCTCCACTACGGCGTCTCTCATAATCATATAGTGGTTTTGGGACGTTAAAACCCCACATATCAATCAATTATTCCAACGCTTTGCAAAGACGACACGGTGGTGGCACCTACCCATCGGTCGCTGTGCATTTACACCTTATCACCTCCGAGACAGGCGCCACCCTTCGTTTTCGAAGATAACTGCCAGATAGCGCTCGTGTCTCACGTGCCTTAAAGCCCCTAAAACTTCAAGCTCCAGGGGCTTTAACGTGCCTCGATGCGCTCGTTCACCTCCGCTGCACGGATCAAGGTACTCTATACCGCAGTGCCTCTAGAATACAATTCATCAGGTTTCTCGCGCAGAACATCAAATAAACATTTTGTTCACTCTCTTCAGACGCGAGACTATCGCCTTTCGGCGACATTTGCAGGGAAGCATGCAGATACGGGTCGATTGTTTTCATACAGGGACCTTATGGCACGGCTGTTCACAGAACCATAGCCGACATATAAGGAACGCACGCCCGCTTTTGGCGACATCGTCAGTTGCGAGACAAAACCGCCAGTTGCGGAAAAGAACAAAACTATTTTGAGGGAAAGGGTAGACAAGGGGTACTCAGGAGCATGTTGGTTGGGGCCTCAAGTCCAGGGCCCCACTGGCTTGGGCCGTTCGCCTAACATGACTCATATCGAGGCATGACAATATTGAGACATAGGGAAGCTTCAGAGGACTTTTACTTATACTAAAAATGTTGCCAACTGTATACGGTGGTCGTCAATAAGCATTAAAAAGTGGCGCATGGGTGAATAAGAACTGCAGGGATTGTGTGATACAGGCGAAGCACAGCACACGGCGAAAGCGGTGGATAGCGAGCTGAACTAAAGTAACCACTGTAGGCGTTATTCCAACAAGTGGCAACATACGTTAAAACAGTTCCCGAGGAAAAGAATTAGGCGGCAGCATCCACGAACCCAAGGCGACTTCGACAGAGCCAACCACGACTCCGACCAAGTTGCTCACAAGCAATAGCACGTTCCGGCCAAGCCCTCCGTACAACGCCCAGAGCCCGCAGATGACGACCGTCCAAAGGCCGATCTCTGGCAGCGGGTAGGTCAGGATGCGGGCGACCGGCGCCACGTTGCAAGCCAACGTCCAAGCCAACGCCGTCCTGCCCAACCACGTGACAGGCATCATCGGCGACACAAGAAACATCAACACGAGAGTCGCCGACAGAATAGTGCCAGGTCCGTAGTCGTAAGAGAAGGTGCGGTGCACGATTACGTTGACGGCCATCAGGATGAGACCGCAGGCGCTTGCCCATATCACGTCGGAGTTGCTGGCTGCGAGCCCGTAATGGAACCAGGCGTGCAGGCACAAGATTGTGGTGGCCATGGGCAAGAAGGCGACGCCCGAAGAGTCGCCGACGATCCAGACCCGCCAGGCCATGGTCAGGTTGCCGACGAAGCTGGAGACGGTCAAGAAACCAGCGATGCAACCGATGCGGGCACGATACTCTGCCATGATTGTGGTGGTGGGCATTGTGGAATGGCGCAGAGAATTCCTTCACTGCACTGAACTACGAGAAACATTTCGTTCCCATGGGTAAGCGTGCGATGTCGCTGGCATCTTTCTAGTGGAGGCGTTGGTAACGGCAGCCACTTCGATGCACTAACACCCATGTGCTTAGATCAATATGCGCACTTGTGGAAAATTAAATTGATCGTGAGCTCACCTAACCACCGCTAAGGCCAGCCTGTAAATCATATCGTGTTTTTTTTTGGGGGGGGAGGGGGAGGGGGGGCAGCTCAAATACGACATCGTAAGCTATGCTTCAATGTTATATCATTTCATAGCTCCGTCATTGAACACGCCGGTGATGAAGATGTGCAGTCGCTACATCGAAGCAAATCGAAAGCATTCCAGTGAATGACTGTCTTGCCTTCTGCGCATCTGATATATCACAAATGACTATATTGTATTCCCTTTGCCGCATCAAGTTGTGACGTACAAGATACACACTCGGTTGACATGACATGCAAATCATACAGCCAAAAATATATATCTTTTATCGTCTTTTACGAAGAAAGAACAAATAAAAACTTGGACCATTTCCCCGAAGGGAACCCTGATGGGATGCGAAGCAGGATCGGTGCCTACGGCGTTGACCCGTTTGAAAACGGGCGTCGACGCGGGGTGCTGGAAGAACGGTTTGGCCCCGCCGTGGTGGTCTAGTGGCTAAGGTACTCGGCTGCTGACCCGCAGGTCGCGGATCGAATCCCGGCTGCGGCGGCTGCATTTTCAATGGAGGCGAAAATACTGTAGGCCCGTGTGCTCAGATTTTGGTGCACGTTAATGAACCACAGGTGCTCAAAACTTCCGGAGGCCTCCACTAAGGTTAAGGATGTTGTAGGTAGCCGGCGGATCTAGCCTTGCATAATTTGCAGGCAATTGCCCCGCCCTGTTTCCTCTTTGCTAATTGTATACCTAATGTCCTTTGTTTAACTAAGCACGATCAGGCTCTTAAAATAAAAATCGCGCATAACGCGACGTAAGCCTGCATAAGACGGCGGTCTCTTTGCTATTCCACATGCAGTATTGTATATAGCTCGCTGCACTATACCCCAAACATTATTGTCACTTATCACCAGTCACATGCGAGGTCTGTAGCATTCAAAAATTTCAAGAGAAGTCGCGACACCTGTTTACTGAAGATCGAGTGACCACGCGGAAACAATATCAGTCACGCTGTCACATGGCGAGCCTAACCGTTGCAGTTAATTCCTCAAATAAACCTTGCTATTCCTTCTTAAGTTCACGACACTTAAGCAAATAGTGTTTTATATCACCGTTTTCCTTGCATTTCGGCCACAAAGGGCGTCGCGGAGAGTCTGATCTTGTGGAGCTATGCTGGTGTACGGCACTGATTCTGTTCGGATGCGATGAAGCAAGCAGGCTTCTTCCCTTGATAGCCCTTTTGTCACACATGGCTGGCGAGGCGTCAGCCATAACGAATGAAAATGCTTATTGACAGCTTCTCGTAAGATACGCTGATTATCTTTGGGAGCCTTCTTTGTTGGCGTAAGCTCCAGAGCACTCCGGGCAAGTCTGTCAGCCGCCTCATTACCCGTTATACCCACATGTGATGGAATCCATTAAAACCAATCCATTAAAACCAATGACATGCAGGTCTTTAAGGATTCGCAGTGATCTCCGAGTGCATCGATCCAAAACCAGTCCATGTTTTAGCCGCTGCAAAGCGGGCTTACTGTCCGAAAACAGCACGACTTGTTGCTGCCTATACAAAACTTCAGTTTCTTCAGGGCTGCCTGAATTGCCACGCTTTCACATGCTGTCGATGAAACAACGCACTCGAGTCGCGCTGCCCAGGACACCTTCAGAGACGGGATCACAAACGCTGCAGCGCTTGCTCTGCGCACTAGGTCGACTGATCCATCGGTGAAAACTTTCAAATGATCGGCGTACTTTTCTTCAATATATTCAAGTACAAAAGAACGTACTTCTGCTGTGGGTGTAAAACGCTTGCTGTGTATCCGTGGAATCGTCACCTGACAGTCGACATCCTCATGTGACCAAGGTGGGTCTTGTCGAAGTTGTCTTTGAAGAAATCGATGCCAAGGTAGCGAAGGGTGTTGAGGGCCACGAAAGCTCGCGATTCTGTGCGTCGCCGAAGGCGAGTGAGTAGTGCTCGTCCTGGGCTCGATTCGCCAAGTCGGCAAAGCTGTGTCAGCAGTCATTATGAGGCGAGAAGACGTAACGGCGGAATACGAGCTTCATGAAGCACATTTATGCTCGCTGCAAACTTTTGCACTCCCAAAGCGACTCTGGGGCCTTTACGATGAATTTTTTCCAGCCGTTCGTACTGTGACTCACTCGGAGAGATCAGGGGCAATTGGTAAAGCACACGATTGACAATTACTGCCGCGTGTAACTTTATCATTGATGTTGGGTGGCTCCCCCAGCTTGTTCCTGCCATCCTTCGAAGAATGTTTACTCGGGGTGATAGCACTGACATTGTCTTGTCTACTGCCCGTCGCCAATTCATCCTGGGGTCTAGTGTGACTCCAAGGAATCTCATGTACTTGACTTGCTTAGAATTGATGCATCAGGAAGTAGTAATTCCACTTACCAAGACGTACGATAAGCTCAATGACCGTATTCGAAATCCCGAATCCCTGCGAGATCCCGGCAACAGTAGGGGAGTCTCGTTTCGGCAGTCGAAGGGGAAGGACGTGTTTTAGTACGCTCCTCAGCTGTTGTTTTGTGACTCGCGCTCCGCGCCGGACGTGCGTAGACCACCGAGGAGTGCGGTCGCTTCACCGGTGCTTCCCGCGAGTACGCTGCCAGTACTCGTGCGCGCCGCAAGCACCGCCATGCTCGTGGCCCCGCCGCGGTGGTCTAAAGGCTAAGGTACCCGGCTGCTGACCCGCAGGTCCCGGGTTCGAATCCCGGCTGCGGCGGCTGCATTTCCGATGGAGGCGGAAATGTTGTAGGCCCGTGTACTGAGATTTGGGTGCACGTTAAAGAACCTCAGGTGGTCAAAATTTCCGGAGCCCTCCACTACGGCGTCTCTCATAATCATATGGTGGTTTTGGGACGTTAAACTCCACATATCAATCAATCATGCCCGTGGTTCATCACGTGTGCCCTGTGCCTGTTCCCTGGATTACCAACATGGAACTTCAGCCACTGCCTTCTATAGCTTGCATCGACTGGTCGGTGAGCGATTCTCCGTCACTGTCGCGCTTTCTAGTGCTCGACTAGCGAGTGCAGCGTCGTAGCGACTAGCGCAGTTCAATCGCACCGCGTGTGAGGACTGTGGTCTTGAAGGCATGCGGACTTTTTTTTCTTTTCAGGCTTCGTTTTCATTGCAGAAACGCGAGTGATCCTTGTTATTTTTTTTTCGGGAACGCGAGCAACGTTTTAGGAACGAGCTTGACTTTTCTTTTCAGGCTGTTTGACATTCGCTACAGCCGCTAACTACTTTTAACCCGTATGCCCGTTTCTTGCGTTTATAGTGACCTAGGGTGCGCGCTGCTAAGGTTTGTTTACTTTAAGCGCGTCTGTTATCGCGCTACTTGTAGCACAAGTACCACCGCCGTTTGATTACGTATCGCGAGCGTGCTCTGCGCCTATCGTTATCTTTCTTTTTTCAGGTACGCGTGCGATCTTTCTTTTCAGGAACGCGTGCGATCTTTCCTTTCAGCCTACCCCCCTCCTTTTTTTTCTTTTTTCCTTTCTTTTTCAGATGTTGCTTTGATATCCGGTAGCTGCTAGTTTGTTAATACGACCAGCGAGATTGTTTTTCGTGCTTACCTGTAGTGCCGTAGAGTGCTCACTACAAGGGTTTATTTAATTTTAGCGAGTCTGCTTGCATGCCTCTCCGCTACTTTTAGTGCAAGTACCGTCGGTGTTAGATTACTTCTAGCAAGTGAGTTCTACGCCTGTCGTTACTTGTAACACGTTTGTATCCCCTGTGTGTGTGCTTGTTTGTGTTCTTGCTCTCAGCTAAAGGGCGTGTTTTCTGCCTCTGTGCAGCGTGCGTGATAGTGTCTTTCGAACGTTTTTTTCCCCGCTTTGCCTGAACACTGCGTTTGATTGATTTTCCCCTGTAGCGCACTACATCCCGTGTAGCGAGTACTGTGAATAACCAGTGCTTTTCCCCCCCCATTAACCACCGGCTCTGCCGAGAAGTGTTTTTTCCAGAACTCAGCCAACAAGTGTTCCCCGTGAAAGTGTGTGTGTGTGTGTGTGTGTGTGTGTGTGTGTGTGTGTGTGTGTGTGTGTGTGTGTGTGTGTGTGTGTGTGTGTGTGTGTGCGTGCGTGCGTGCGTGCGTGCGTGCGTGCGTGCGTGCGTGCGCACGACCCACAGACCTCAGCCAGCTCCCCTGCACGACCACAGACGACCAGGACAGCTACAGACCTTTCGAGGACGCGAAGGCACTCGCGCAAGCTATGATGCCACCACCAGGAGAACTGCCGGCCTGACCTGTGCGTAACCCCAAGCACAAAGGTGGCGCAAGTTTTGGTGGCATTCCTTTCGCCCAGCTGGAAAGCCTGCCACCTTGGACTCTACCGGAGTCCAGAGAAAACACAGTGATAACATGGAAGACTGCTGCTGAAGACGCTGTACGAACTTTTCGCAGGCCTGGCGCAATGCACCCATGTCTACCAGTGCCCCCGTTGCCGCCACACCATAAGACAGCAACCCACTAGCCCCCAACGGCGCAACTGCTGACGAGCACGCCCTTCCACCACTGCCCAAACCTTCGCCGAAAGAGGAGATAGACTTGTCCTCGTCACGGAAGCGTCCCCGCCTTGTGGACAGCAGCGATGACGAAGCAGACACACGGCGAAAGCTGGTCTCAGCTCCTCCCCCCTTAAAGAAAGAGTGACACCAGCACCGACAGCTCGGATTCCCGGGTGTCCTTTGATTCCCTATACAAGAAAGACTCTACCGACAGTTATGCAAGCAGCATTATGACTGGGGTGGCCTCGGTGATCCAAGTAGACTCCCCTGCTGTGACTACAGGCCCTCCAAGTGTACCCGCCGTTGATGATCCAGAGGAGAATGCAGAAGGAATGGACGAAGCGCCTGGTCACGAGACCGTGCACCCTCACCCCGCTACGGCTTTCCTGAAGGATGCCACAGGTGCCCGTACAACAGGAAACCCTTGGAGGAAGAGGAACAGGCATCGGCGCGAGAAGAGGACTGTTCCAGTTTAGCAGAGTACAGCGGTTTCCCCACCCTCCGCTGGGAACCAGTGCACGCATACCACTACGTGACCACCCCCTGCACTCCGTTCTGCCCCCGGACACCTGGCTCCCCCTACCAGCGAGACAGTCGACAATGAGGGCTTCCAGACAGTCCGCTCCAAGGCTGCCCTTCGTCGTACCAGGAACCTGGCTTCAGCCGCCCTCCCCGTAGACCCTACGGTGATGGGGACAGTGCTCTACCAGCCTGCTTCTGCTGGAGGCTCATTCCGGAACTGCTCAACACTGACCATAGCCCAGGCACTCTCGTTGCGCACGGGAGTCGCTGCGATCCGGGTGAATTAACACCGCAACGTGGTAGCAGTGAACGTCACTTACCAGGATTGCCTTGAACAGATCTGGGTCCTCACATAGCTCAAGGGAATTCCACTGACAACCAGGCAGCCTGCTGACCACCGAACCAGCATGGGATTCCTCCATGGGGTGGGCGGTGACGCTGCTGACGAGAACCTGCTGTCCGAACTCCAGTCGGCTGTATGGATCCTATCAGCATCCATAGAAGGCCATACCGTCTCGCTGCGCTTCGAGGGCCCAGTACCCCAAGACCACGTGACGCTCTTCAGAGTACGTTTCTCTTCCCGACCAGCCAGATCACGCCCACTCCAGTATAGGCAGTGTGGCTGGTGAAGGAGACCTGCAACTGGCCAGACAGCTGTATCCGTTGCGGCCGGTCTCATCCAGGAGAGTCGGACTGCCAGCGTCTCCGCTGTGTGAACTGCGGTGGCCCTCACCGTGCGGTCACCCCAGACTGTCCTTGCTGGCACGAGCACGGATGAGTGACTACCATCATGGCTTTTTCGACGACAGCTCTTTCCAGCCTAGCAGTCGCGGCAGTGTTGAGGGAGGAGAGAGAGGTTCGGTCCTATGCAAGTGCAGTGAAAGGCCGTGCTGCACCAGCCAGACCAACCCCAGCACCACGCAACCTCTGCCAGCCAACCCCTGCAGCCGCGGCCAACACTCCAGCTGTACCAGCAGCCGCAGCTGCTCTTGTTGTCCAGCCTCCTGTTCGTGTCTCCAAGCCTGGAGCCGCCAACCCAGGACCCAGCCTGCTGAGACCTCTGCCCCGACGCCTCTAGTGGAACAACTCCTGGGCCCCCTTCTGCTATCCTTGCAAGCAGCCGATACTTTGCTTCCACCAGAGCACACGATTCGTGCCATCTGCCTGCAAGCAGGGGCCTGGCAACATAACAACCATCATGTATAATTCTCCCACCAGAGCACGTCAGCCCCGACGTCCGAGCGTCCTCCAGTGGAACGTCCACTGCCTGGGACCGCGGAGAGACGACTTCCTCGTACTTCAGGAGATCTACTCCCAGGCAGAGCAGCTTCGACTTCCAGACTACGTCGGCTACAGCAGCTGGACCAGCTGCACCCTGACCGACTGGGATACTGCCCCTTGTCTGGATGACAACTACCCACAAGGACTTGCCCACTGTGCTGTCTACGTAAAGCGGGACCTGCTGCAGGCTAAGGTATCCGTGGTCGACCTGGTCGGAGGACCCTTCAAGTGCTGCGCCGTCCGCCTCGACGGGGTCGACACCGCAGTGGCCAGCGTAAACATCAGACCCAAAGAACCTGCTCTTCCCGTCTCTTCCCCATCTACCAGCGCTCCAGAGCCTGGTGGAGTTCCTGGACGAGACGGGAATCGCGGCCTACCACAGATAACGGGACCTTTGCCACCCCACCCTTGCTACTGGACTGCTAGACAACTGTGCCACTGCGTACTTAATCTTTTTCCCTAGTAGAACTCGCTGTTGGGCTAGTTGGTGCATGTCTTAAATAAATATTCAACGTCACGCCGAAAGAGCAACCATACACAGCGCCCGTGGTGTATATTCGTTTCTTTCTGTGTGTGGTTGTTCAATCGGCGCGACATTGAATATTTAATCAAAATCTCTTTCTCTTCTTTCCACTTTTCTCCCATTTCCCTTCCTGGAGGCACTGCGCAGTGCTCTCTACCGGGCTGCAGGAATTAGGTGACGTTTTGCTCTTCTAACCACTACCACCACCACCGCCAAAACTTGGAGCTTGACCTGTGCACTTGCAATGTGCGGAACACTGTCTCTGGCAACGGAAAAGAGGCATAGCGGTTGCTTGCAGTAAGCCTGATTGAGGGTGCTGCTTTCTTTTGTCGGTGGGAGCGCAGTCACGTGTTATTTTTCATATTTCGCGGGCTTTTTTTATCAAGAGGGAAAATGAGCGCGCATTTAGTAAGTTTTTGAAAGTAACACAGACAGATGTCTTGCAGAGAGGCAGACAGTATAGCGCAGTTGCTTCGCGCCGGCACTTCGACTAAGGACCTAGGCGAGACGAGCATCAACAACAACGGTCGGGCATTGTGCGACCCTAAGGTGCTTCGCCTCTAATAGTGCTTATCCCGCCACCGCTCCGCGAGCAGCTCGTCAGACCCGTGTGTGGGGACCTAGCATTGCGGAAGAAGGCAAGTGGCTAAGAGGTGCGTTGACTAACACTCCCAGGTTTGCATGCCCATAAATACCCGATAAATGTGGACGATAGGGCAACCACCATGGCAGTTTTGTCTTTTTCGCTTAATCACTGGGACACTTAATCAAAATTATTCTCAACCACACTCCAGCTCACGAAAGTATCACTCACTGGCCAGACAGATTCGCTGCTTGAACAAAGTTTGAGCGCATTTACCGACCGATGATCGCATCACCCTTGGAACGTCGTCTTGGACCACAAGCTTTTTCCAAACGACTTCTCATGCGCTGTCATTTAGCCGGGCAACATCATTGAGGCCACGTTATGAAACCAACATAATTATCAGAAAATGTTCATGTTACCAGAACAAACACAGGCGCGTTCACTTTCAATAATGCACTTTAATGTGAAATAGTCGGAATCATCACTGAAGGCTGAATCATCGCTAGAGGAAACGTGCGCAGCCCCTTGTACTGTGATACGCCCAAACGTAAACCAAGGCCACGAAGGGTGGCCCACCACGGTGTTAATTCCACTGAGCGGTAAGTGTTACTCCAATCCGGGTCGACTCGGGCGGTTCAAGTGTGCTCTGGAAGTTAGGCGAACCAGACATACGTGTATATGGCAATGTACTGGGTTTATAGTGATGCTCGCACTGAAAGCACGGGTTTAACGGTTAGCTTATAAAGCGATACAAATAGTCCATAAGCGGCCTTGTAGCCACGAAAAATGCATTTGCAAGTTTTAGACTAAAGCGCCTGTTAATTGTCCATCGATTCAACGCTTGTTCGCTCATGTCTTCTCTGCAGGGTATCGTCTACTGCTTCAAACACACGGAGTCCGGCGAGACACTGCTCCGCTTCATCGGCTGTGCCGTGCCCGCTGCGTCGAGCGCGTCCACGCGGTTCACGATGTCGAGCAGCCTCTTCTCGGACAGCGGGAGCAACAGCAGGGAGAAGAGGAGCAGGTTGACGGCCGCGACGGCCATGTACAACGCATCCAGTTCGTAACCCAGGCTCGTCACGAAAACAGGAAACGCGTCGGCCACCATGGCACCCAGCCGGCCGAAGGTGTACGCCCCGGCGAAGGCCACGCTGCGAACCTAACGAGAAGTGGCGGAAAGGCAGCCAACAGCACTTTTATAATGCAAACGTCATAGTCCCTATAGGGCATTTGCCCAGACGGGAGCCTCAAAACATGCGGCCAGCATGCCTTCCGCTTGTGGACTAGTCTTCATATGCATGTCTTCATCTCCTTGTTTTTTTTTCTTAATTATTTATGAGCTACAGAGACGTGACTGGTCCCAAGTATTTTTATTGTAGTGAGAGACTCCATTCGGTGTTTATTAGCTAACCCACAACCATGGAACAAAAACGCCATTTTTCAGAATTGGCAGACAGATTTAAGTCATTCTGGGGATCAGTGTCATCATGCTTCTCGAAAACAGATTTCAACTCTCCCAGAAATTACATGTAGACAAAAAAATCTTTCTTCCAAATGGCTCATTGACGTTTTATCCACTAATGCGCGACCGCAATTTCATGTGGCGAGAAACTGTTACATTAATTGCAAAAAATGGGTTTAGTTTGGGAAAAATTTATTGTGAAATTCTGAAGGCATGCGTTCTAGCACACGGCGGGCCGCTTCCACGATGGGACACTAAGACCGAGATCTAGCGCCGCATCGTGGGCCCTCTGTATACAGCCCAAAGTTGTGATGTTATGTCGTTTCACGCATAGGTGATGACATATGTAACACATTGGTGTTTAGAGCGTTTGCGTCTAGCATGAGTGTCTATAGTACTTCGGAACCCTCGTCTGCAGTGCCTATAGTACTTCGGAACCCTCGTCTGCATATTTTATGAATTGTACATACGTTTTGTAAGAAGAAAACCATTGATTGAGTGTTCGGTTGATTGATACCTGCGTCGGAAACAGCGCCACGGTGTGTACGCAGAGCAGGACGTAGGCGATGTTGAGGAGCAGCGACCGCCACATGACGATCAGCTGGATCGGAAAACTAAGGCCCATGGTCTGGGACACGGCGCTGTAGAGCAGCATGAATGACACGGCCATCAGGAAGACCACCAGCGGCGCCAGACGGCCGTGGTGCTTGATGATGAAGTAGGCGATCGTCATGGCCGGCACGTTGCCGGCGATCACCACCCACTTGACGAAGCTCGCGTGCGGGCCCTCCATGTCCCGGTAGTAGTAGTTGCCGTACACTGTGAACCAGCAGCCGAACACGACGAAGCAGTGGGCCAGCATGGTGCGCGATCGGAAGTAACGCAGCTGCGACCGCCTGCGGCGGCTCGACTGACCGCGCTCTTCCGCCGCCGCTGTAGTTCCCGCCGCAGCGGTCCCCAGCACCAGCATGTCCTTGACCTTCTCGAGTCGCTCGATCACGACGTCGGGTTCTTCGTCGTTGAGCAGGGCGGCCCAGAGGGCCACCCTGCGGGCCTCGTGGAAGCGGTGGTTGACGATGAGCCAGTGCGGCGACTCCTCGGTCACGGACACCGTCAAGAACAGGAACAGCGCGGGGAGCGCGAGGCACGCGTGCCACATGCGCCAGTTGGAGGCCACGTACGCGACAGTCGCCACGTATACGGGCGCCAGGACTGTGGGCCAACAGACGGCCAGAGCGCAGAAGGGATCCCGCGGACCCACGGGGGTCGACTCGAAGAGCAGGACAAAGGACACTACCTATACATCAAGGGTGGGACAAACACATTGTGCACCAATGACACCGCTTGTCATCGCTAACGGTTATGTACTTCTGTACGAGCACTTAGACAAAGAAAAATGAGGGACCGCTCTAGCTTATCGATGGTCATGTCGAGAGAATAGGGTCGTGTTTTTCATCTAATTTAATACAAAAACGATTCCACGTGATTTGAAAGCCCTCGTGCAAACGTTAGTTTTATATATTTGAACGTGTGCGGACTTTTGAGGCGTAGATAGCGCACAACTGTTTTGAATAGTTATGGGCGTTGTTCAGAGTGTTTGTTCAAGCGTTCCCGCAACCGTTGAAACACTTTGATAAATTCGAAGTATAAGAAGTAATATGTTATAAGATAACATATTTTGGTGTCGTCGCAAATGCTTGGCATCGTGCTGATGGCCAACAAGTGCGCAGCTTCGCAATCTCAAACTCATGGGCTGCTAACGCAACCACAGAGTTTCCTATAAATGCACGACAGAGGGAACTCTGGCGCTAGTGCTTATAGGAGCTGCAATGCACGGCGCTTCAGCGAGCATGGGAATTGTGGGTAGCACACAAATTTGCCTAATCTTCGTACTTTCGGCTTCGTTTGGCTTCACGTGGCAGGAGCTGCTTTGTCAAGAAACGACCATTGGAACTAGCACTCTGTCCTGGAACTCACATACCGAACATATAACCTCCAAGGATAGCGAAACTCTGGGTTACGTTCGAAGGAACGTTTCTTGCTCCATCGCCACTAAACTTATTACTATATGTACATCCAGCCTCCAATGGACTACACTTGATCTGTTCGGTACTCTGATTAGGTGACATTATCTCATGTTAGAATTCGTTCGAAACCGTGCAGCTCATTTCATTATGGTTAATTACCATTGATAAGCTAGTGTCAACCAAATGAAGGTATCTCTGAACCTGATTGCCCTAACAGCTTGCTGAAAGGGCAGTCACATCTGTCTGTTTCATAATATTTTCATCGCAATCCGATCCTTTGTTCCCAATTAATCGAACCTGCTCCCTTCATTTCTCGTCGTCGCAGTTACCAAGAAAAGGTAACAGTCCCCCATTGAAGGGATGATTAAACGAGAAGGGGGAGTGAGCATAGGCTAGCAGACGCGAGAGAAGGGGGAGCGTGGGAGAGGTGGTAGAGGGGGCGCGCATGCGCAATGGTAGTGTAAACCACGGGGATGGATGCCCAGAGGAGAGAGAACACTGTCTTTGTCGGTGTTGCGAGGCGACAGAGGAGGAAGCGTAGGAGAGAAGAGAGGAGGAAAGGAAGCACATTCGCAGTAAGCGTGGTCACGCCGCAGACCGGATTGAGCTCGTCACTTTAAGACGCTTCGCATCTAATAAACAACGCCACAAGTGCGTTCGAAACCCGCAAGCACGAAGACTAAGCAAGACTGGGTAAATTTGCGTACTATACCCATCATTCCCACGGTCGCTGAACGATCGCAGCGCCCGAGTCCCCTCCAGTTAACTTTAGGAAGCTCTACGAACGGAAAGTCTCACCTCTAGCACGCTGACGGCTGCCGAAGAGACGAATCGCAGCACTATGAAGGCAATCAGCGTGGGCGCCAGGGTGGTGGCGGCGCCGGAGCAAAGGAGGACGCACACCGCGGCCCACATGATCGGCCGGCGACCCCAGCGGTTGGACGCCAGGCCCGCGCACGGCACGGACAGCGCGGCGCCGCACATGAACGCCGCCTTGATCACGTGCTGGTACCACCTGCGGTCGCACACGATGTTCCAGAAGACCAGCACGGTGGTTCCCGTGTGGCGCGTGTCGTAGTCCCAGGCGTCGCAGGCGACCGCCACACGCGTGGTGTTGTCGGCCCCATGGTCCTGCGTATAAGGCGAGACCCAATGTTCTTCGCAGCCATGCGCAGGCTTCCACTTTGGGAAAGGGGGGTGAGGAAGGTTCGTAGCAGCGCCACCATCTCTATTATGCCAATGTATGGGGTTGACATTGCAAGCCCCCTCCCCTCCACCGAGTCGCAGCGCCCCCCTCCATATTGCCACACTCCTCTCTCAAATTTTGTTATCGCCCCGTTACACGCGTAGGTGCTGCCTTGCGTAACTACGCCGATTACTCAGAACCATCGAGATAATCGTACAACCTTCTGCTGCGATTACGCGCACAACGCGAACATTACAGATTCTTCTGAAGCTTACGCTACCACCAGCGCTAACGATGGAATAGTCGACGACACATGTGTACGCGTCACCGTTTGTCAGTTATTCGACGGCTGACACTCTGTTTGCCTATCTCTCAGTGCCAGTGTCTATTAATGTCCCTATATTTTTTCCTTGGGACTTTAGTGTCTGTCGCTACAATCTGACTTTCTGTTTACCGGCCGCCAGTTCAGCCATATTTCATTTTGGATAAGCCGTCTCTGCCTTTCTCAGAGTCACGACCCTGTGACAATATTATGCGAGTGTATGGTGCTGCCTATGCGATCCCCCCCACAGAGTCGCAGCGCCCTCTTCCTATTATGTCAATGTATGTGGCAGAGTTGATTGATATGTGGGGTTTAACGTCCCAAAACCACCATATGATTATGATAGACGCCATATAGTGGAGGGCTCCGGAAATTTGGACCACCTGGGGTTCCCCATACCCCTTTTTTTGTGACTAGCAGGGGCGGTCACCCCCCCCCCCCCCTTCGAGCGCACACCTATGATGTTCCAAGCTGTCTTATTTTAGCCCGGATTAGTCGTCCTGACAACCTCCTATTCACAAACGATGCGTCGCCTCGGACAGCTCCGAACACTCCGAGGCGGTGCCCTCAGCTAATGAGTGTATACGTGTGCATCTGGCATACTTTGGCTGTTAGAAATGAAATGAGCGCGCCCAACGTTAATAATTAGGAAGCGTAATTATTTGCGAGCTTAATAAATGTAACAACGTAATACAGACATAAATAACAGACGTAATAGAAAACTTCATTGCATGTCCTAGTCTTTTTTTTTTATTCCTATCCGAGCCTTCAGTTATAACCAAACAATGAGAAAAAATCCTTTCCTGTAAGCCTTTCGTTACGTCACTGCTTAGAGCAGTGTACAAGAGGTGTAATTTGATTGATATGTGGGGTTTAACGTCCCAAAACCACCATAAGATTATGAGAGACGCCGTAGTGGAGCGCTCCGGAAATTTCGACCACCTGGGGTTCTTTAACGTGCACACAAATCTGAGCACACGGGCCTGCAACGTTTCCGCCTCCATCGGAAATGCAGCCGCCGCAGCCGGGATTCGATACCGCGACCTGCAGATCAGCATACCTTAGCCACTAGACCACCGCGGCGGGGCTGTACGAGGCGTAGAGTACCTGTATATGCTACTATGTACAGTAACTCTAGAAAGGTGTGTACCTCTTCGCCACCCTTATGCGGTTCCTCGTAGTGGCGGCAGCCGTCGTGGCCTCGGCCTCCCGGTCCGCGGGGCAGGTACTGCTCCTTCCAGGCTTTGGCGCTCACGTTGGCGTACTCGGCGCCGGGTCGGCACCAGTGGTCCACGGGCTCCAGGTCTGTGACGACGGCGAAGCTCTGCGAGTAGGCCACGAACGTGGTGATCTGCGCGCACAGCAGCGCCAGCCTCTGGAAGCGCCCGAAGCCGAACACGATCATGCCCTGCACCAGCGTCGCGTCGGTCGCGCTCTCCGTCAGGGGCTGAAACAGCGACGGCAGGTACGCCGACACGATGCTTCGGGAACGACGCAGTCGGTCCATCGCCTGTTGTTGTCCCCCTTCCGATGACTTTCGGGCTTTCCAAATTATTGCTCCGCAGAGACTCGTGGCCTTCGCCCGGAGCAGCACTTCTTCTTCTTCTTCTGGGACTTTGCACGCCGAGCGCGCTCGCGAATGCTCGCGCTATAGTTTCGTTGTTTTCGCCTATGTCTGATGAGTGGGGCCCTCCGAGAAATGCCTTCTAATTCGCAATTTCCACTGGTTGGCCGTGACTACTGAGATCTAGCTGCAAGAGTTCTAGCTGCAAGAGATCTAGCTGCAAATTCCAAACATTCTAAACAAACACCCAACTATATTACATTTACTGGAAGACGGAATTTCAGCTAGATCATTTAAAAAAAATAACGAAAGAGTTCCTAGTGGATGAAAGCGATGCTTTTCCTGATTGTTGAAATTTGTAGTTGATGATGTTTTTGTATTCGTTGCACCTTGTTCATTATTGTTCCTTGCCTGTTGTTTATTATACTCTAATTTGTCTTGTAGAACAACTCGATTTCCTAGTCAAGATGTTTCTTGTTAATTTATTTCATAGAGGGCATGCATTTGTTTGTGTTTGCCACCACTCGAATGAGGACTGTTTGTATTTCTGTTCAATTGTTCAGACTTCTGGCGGTTCCTGTTTGATCATGGTGCCCGTGTAAGATAACACGTGATGTTATAATTTTCTGAGTGCTGTGCTTGCGGTGTGTTTCTGCTTTGCTGCCAGGGTGGCACGACCTTGTCAGGCTTTTACTTAGCCTTTAGTCGTGTCCCCCAAGGCAATCTTGTTCAATTTTGCCTTGAATAAAAGCAAACCAAACCAAACCAAACCAAACCAAAAAAAGAGTACTCGCGGGACACAGAGAATTGTACGTTGAAATGGACCTCTCACAGTCCCTAGTTTAAAGAAAAAATATGAGTCATTACTGCGGCCAATCACCTGGTAACGTTACGTGGCGGAGATGGGTGGGAGGCAGTTTCGCTCCAGCATCCTTACCTTTTTCCCTCCTGTCGCCATATTACGAAAGCAGACAAGCTTCGCGATGGATGAAACAATGAAAATAATAAACATTAATGTGCGTCTCACAGTAGCATGCCTGAAGTGTTCAGATTTATTTTTGAAATAGACACATAATCCACGAGTTTCACTTTTACACTGTGACCTGTATCCAAAAACAGGCGTTCATATTGCTGTCATATTACTGTTCATATTGCTGTCGTAGCACAAAACAGCTGGAAGGGGGTCACTGCGCGGGCAAATTATCTCATGCGGGGAATATCAATATTATACACAGCACCTATCCTTTTATATTTATTTCATAATTTACACATTGAATTGCGAATAAGTTCTGCCCAAAACATTGCATGATTATTTCATCAACCCATGCTCACATATAGTAAATAAGAGTTATGGTGCTTTTTAGTTCGTTCTTTTTTCCTCACTGATGTTACTTTTTTTCTTTTACGAAATTACATTCAGTTTTTGAATACATCGTATCCGATGAATATTCATTCTGTATAATATTTTTTCCTTTTCTTTCTGAACACGTGTGTTATTGCTGTTTGTGTTGTATATACAAGTTGCTTTTGTTTCAAGCGACTATTATCCGCAAATTATTCCCTCACTGATGAAAATAAAAGAAGCTATCAGTTGTTTTTTAACAGTTCTTGCAATGCCGTTCTTTGGTTACGGCTACTATAGAAAAAGAAAAAAAGGACTTGCGCGGCTATAACACCGCATTGCAATGGGACACTAAAACGAAAGGAGATTTTTTCTCGCAATAGTTAAGTACTCCTTCCCAATAATAATATCAGCACGCTTGCTGCGGGAAGGAGCTTGGTGAGCGGATGGGGACTCCAACTGGAAGTTTCCTCACCAATCACCGTGACATCATAGATTTCGACGTCGCCTGCTAGAAGCCGAGTCATTAGAGAGTTTTAGTACTGCGTAATGGTGCTACGTACGCATCACGCAAGCGCCTTGCGTTACGTGGCGTCGTTTGCCACTAATCGGCTTTTAGTACGCCGTAGTACCCGCGTACGTAACGAGCGTGAAGCGTGTTGCGCCATCTGGCAGATCAAAATAGAAGCACGTGTTGTTGGCAGCCAATGTGAGCCAATCCAAGTGTTATAGCCAGATTATGGCCATATTTAAAGCCACAGATATGGTGGCTAGAAGAGGTCGGTGCTTGCCTTCCATGCCGCCATTTTGCAAAACGAAGTCTCGCGCTGTCGCGAACTTGTTCGAGAGCGGCGCGATCACCTCATACGTACGCACGCACGCATCTCATGCGTGCGTACGTAGCGGCTGCGTACGTAACGCGATACGTGCACGTTGCGGTCTGCGCATGCGCACTACGCAGAACGTGGCGTCCTTACGTACGCGACGCCGCCACTTACGCAGCGTACGCAGTACTAAAACTCTCTATTCTCAAGTCGTTGAAAACATCGGTGAACATGAAGCTCATTGCTCTGTGATAGGTTCGGCGATTTAACGAACTAAGTTTCGGGAAGTTTCGTTGGACCAATGTCGCCACAATACAAAAAAAAAATTAACTTGAATATCAGTGACGTCACGCTTGGAGGTTTCAAGGTGAGATTTTAAAAATGAAACTTCCGACCTTAATTTAACAACGTTAGTTAAGTATAACGACATTAGTGTATTTACGATTTATTAATCTAAAGTGGTTCATTGTTTGACTTCACTGTCCCTTTAAACAATGCCTGACAGCTGCGAATGAGTAAACGCGCAAGGCAAACTCGGTGCACCCCTCAGATAATTAAGGGTACACTCCCCCGGAAGGGGGGGGGGAAATGGCCAAGCGCACGACTACGGTGAAGATCGTAGTAAGTAGGGCCGCTCTGTAAAACTGTGCGCAAGCATACCTTTAAAAAACCCGCGAATGAGTATTTGTTCAAGAAGGAAACGCCAGATGGCAGCACGCACGGCGCTCTTCGTGTAAAAAAGTTTTGTTATAACAAATCAGAATGCGTCACCGCGCCGTATCAAAGTGACGTCTGGACGAGCCTTATTGATAACATAAATTGATCATAGATAGAAAAGAGCCCCATTAATCTCATAAATGGAACTTACATTAAATGAAACCCGCTTCAGATTTTTTTTTTCCAGTGCTAATCCTCACAACAAAATGTATGTCATGAGTACCAACATAACAAGTGCGCTCCCCAGTGTTTATTGATGGCTTAAAAGTTTCACGCACCAAACACTGGGACGCAAGAAATTTCGAAGGCGTCTATTGTACCCTACGTAGCTTTTAATCGATAAAAATCAAACACATTGTCACCTGTTGGTGCCATAGAAGTTTGATTGATTGATTGATTTGTGGGGTTTAACGTCCCAAAACCACCATATGATTATGAGAGACGCCGTAGTGGAGGGCTCCGGAAATTTTGACCACCTGGGGTTCTTTAACGTGCACCCAAATCTGATTACACGGGCCTACAACATTTCCGCCTCCATCGGAAATGCAGCCGCCACAGCCGAGATTTGATCCCGCGACCTGCGGGTCTGCAGCCGAGTACCTTAGCCACTAGACCACCGTGGCGGGGCTTGCCATCGAAGTTTGAACTAGCATACGACGTTTCAGAGAATTTCATGTCACGCAAATACCAAGAATACATTTTAAAATTTCTGACGTCACACGCGAAGATTTCGGCACGAAATTTAATAATGAAACTTCGACCTTGATTTTCTCCGGTAGTAATGCATTTCCGTCAGTGAAGCATGCATCTCCATTTTCGACAAGTTACCTTTGCGTCACTTTCGTTGTCTTAGTGCACCGCTGAGGCCCGTGATCGCCGAAGGTCTCCCTCTCCTCCGGCATCCCCTCTCTTTCCACACCTCCACCATCTTCAATCTACAGGGAAAGCAAGGAACGAGAAATGGCATGGGAGGAAATTATAGCCGCCCGCACTCGCAATTGGCAATGCAAGACTGTGCCGCGTTGTGGAGGAAGCTCATTAGAATTCGGCCAGCGATTCCAAGGCTGCCATACCGCTCTTATTGGGAATCGTAAATGAGGAATAATATCCCACCGCGCGAGCACGCCAAACGTGTGCACGGTGGCCTGGCGGCTCTGTTCCTTATTGCTTTTCTTCCTCGTCTCTCTACGCATGTGGTGCTTCCTCGCATCACGTGTACCATCGGATTGACTTCAGTTTTCAAGAGGCTTGTAGTGGTGCGGCAGTCACACACCATTAGAGCCGGAATGCGCTTATTCGTCCATTATCTGAACACACTACTTGAGTATATAGACCCGGTATGCATGGACGGAGCCAGGACTTCTTCCTTCCGTGAAAGGGGTATAAAATTTCACAGAGGGTCGGCGTTCCCCCGCACCTCCAAGAAAGCTGGCGATGAAGAGAGCAGTTAAGCACGTTCTTCTATCGTATTTTAAAGATTTATAGTATTTTTGTTGTGAAGGTCTACCAAGATTTCACTGACGTCATTTCCGTCACGGAAGGGAAATCAAATGCACGTGCACAGACCGGAAACAAAAATGAGAAAGAAAATATTTCTTCTGTTGTTACAAGACGTTTGAACTCATTTTGTTACGCTCTTTTTTTATCGAGGTGGTGAAAACGAGTGGACGATTATTTCGGACTGAATTATTCAACTTCGTTAGAATGAAAGCCCTGCTATAGGCTTACAGTGTTTATTCGCAAGCTATTACCACTTGCTAGGGTTGATTAACTGTTGGCTATTAGTGCCTAGCGTTGGCTATCCACCGTAACATTGACGATCCCTATAAGATTGGTATGTTTCAATACAATGAAGATGCTTTTTTTTCTTTAGCTGTTTCACGACATTCCAGAAAAACATAGATTTATCTCTTGGTCCTTATGAAACGGGTATGAAGTTGACCACCGGCATGAACGTCTGTCATATACGTAGGACAAATTATTAGTCGAGCCTCCTTCCCCTCAAAAAGTAGCATCAGCTCGATCAGCGCTGTTTTCTTATAAATGGCAATACTCCCAAC